AAGTAGACAGATTAAAACCCAGGGGCGGAAGAAACTGGCCTTCTCAACTGCTGGGTTTGGATAGCACTAATTGAATTTACATACGCTTCTCAGAGGGAAGGGTAATAAATGCATATCGGTGCATTATTTACTGCCGTCTGCCTATGGAACAGACATGCTGACTGTGGAGTTCGGAGGTACGGTACGGGTATGACGTCAGGGGGCTCAGGAGAACAGAGTTCAACTCGGGGCTGTAACTTGGCTTTTGGTAGATGAGCTTGGGCAAATTGCTTCCCTTCTCAGGCCATCAATTTCCCTGTCTTTACATGAGAATAATGGTGCTGATCCCTGCTGTAAAGCACTTCAAGAACTGTGAGCGAAAAGTGCTTTACAAGAACTCTGTGCTGTTATTTCAGGAGCTTAAGCCACTGTTTGCACTCACAGGAAGATAATCTCTTAGTCTCTGTTAATACAATTTAAGAGTTGGAGAGGGAGGTCACAAGAAAAATTTGAAATTCACTGGAGATTCTTCTGCGTGTGCTGTTGAGGGTCCGGGGTGTGGTATCGCATCTAGGCCTGGTGTGCAGTGGGGATGACAAGGTATTTGCCCGAAACCTTTTATTTTTACATATTATTTTTATTGACTGTTCATCCTGGAGAACCTCACAGGCTGGCCAGGGTGAGTTAGGGCCGTGGCAGACAACCTCTGGCAGATTTAGCAGTGTTTTGTGATACTACGTCCTGCAGCTCCACTGCCACACAGGAAGATACTGCTGCGTTCCTTCTCCCAGCAGCAGTGCTGGTGCAGTCCTGTCCCATAATTTAGTAAAACAATTTTGGGGGTAAAGAACTCATTAATACACCAAAAAGTGATGTGGAGCTGGTGAAAGCTCCAGAAGAGGAGCAGGATGCACTCCTCCTGTGCATTGTGAGTTGGGTGGACAGCTGTGATAACAGCGATACCTTAACCTACTGAAAAATACTTTAAAGCGTTATGCTGAGCCCATGAGGACCGTGACGTGCTGGGGACAGAAGCTGCTGGTGTCATTTCTCTTTGCAGCTGCAGCATGCTCTTCTCTTCCTGACCTTGCACAGTGGCTAGTGATGGGCTCACAAATTACAGAAGCTTATATTGCTGTCCAGAACTTAAACTCCTCCCTGTAATTTTTTTTTTTTTTTAAATCAAAAAAGAGAAGAGGGGGTATGGAGTGGAGGAGAGGTGACAGCGTTTTGCTCTGTGTCTGCTTCTGACTAGCTGTCATGTAATACGGGTGGCTCTGGCACGCCTGGGCACAGACACACATGCGAGACACTGCCCCTCAGTCCTTGGAGCTTCTCATTTACTGCTAATATTTGACTTGACTTGTTTTGAGAGAGTAGTGTAGGTCAGGTGAGGAGAGGTTGTGCTAATAAGGAAAACAGAAAACTCATGTAAGAGCAGCAGCTAAAGAAAGTTACGATATTTTCCTGACAGGTCTTTGTCCTCTCTACTTCCTCCATCCAGAGCATTTTTTTTTCCACTTTGTTGTTTTCTTTGAATTTACTAATATGCATTTAGCTGAATTCTTTCTTTTCATCTTCTCTGTCTGCAAAACCTCCGAAAGAAATGAGGTCATTAATAAATATCATATTATCTAAGCAGAGTATTACACAAACACGAGGTAATGGATAACTGGTATATTATTTGTTTCATGTGAAAAGGTAAACGATACACTAATATATTAAGGCCGAAGCTTTAGGAAAGTTCCTGTAACACCACGCTAATTCATAACATACTCACTAGGGGAACTTGGGAATTGCAGACAGTTTTATAGAATAGTAATTAAAAAAAAAAAAAGGCCATTGTTCGTTACTGCTAGAGGCTAAGTTGGAGTACTCCGTAAAGCTAATGGATTTCAGTCTTATTCTAAGTTTACAAGTCTTAACCTCTTTCAACTGCTGGAAGTGTAACTGCGATGGAGTTAACCTGGGGAGCTTAAGTGCTTCGTCCTTTTGCTTAAGAGTTATCCAGAACTATTGAGCCACCGGAATGTTAATTGGCATTGGTATTTTTTAACAGGTACCTATGGTCCCGAGCACTGGGTTACTTCCAGCGAGAAGTGCGGAGGGTCTCACCAGTCTCCCATAGACATCATAGACCATCAGGCGCATGTTGGAGATGAGTATCAAGAACTGCAGCTTGATGGTTTTGACAATGAATCTTCGAACAAGACTTGGATGAAAAACACAGGAAAAACGGGTATGTTCTTTTCGGTCTGTCTCCATAGCCTGCCTGCAGTCAATTAAAAATTCAAGCCATGTTCCACCCTCCTCCTTTTTCATTGTTCTGTTGTTTGGGTTTTGCTGCTTTTTTTTTTTTTTTTAAATATAATTTTCCAGCAGCAGCCACCTATCTCTGCCTCTGCATTCTGCGCAAAGCTAGTTCTGCAGATTGATTTTTAAGGTGGATTTTTTTTTTTAAGGGGTTTTTTTTTTTGAGTTCTCAGTATAAAATAATTCTCTTGGTAGCCAGTCCTCAGAATAAAAAGCTGCATAAGTGTTTCAAGGTGTAACCTTGAATTATCAGCTTTGGGAGGCTGTAACATCTAATCCAAAAGAGTGCTGAGATGCAAGGCTCAGACTTTTGTAGGAAAGGGGGAGTCTTAGAAATTGGAAGGTTTTAGAGAAGAAAGAGCAATAACTGCTCAGAGTAGTGGGGGCTTATTAATGTGTTTCTGATATGATTATAGCGCTGTGTTCTTCCCTGAACTGAATCCTCTTCTGCTCTGTCTGTTCTGGCTTTTAGAGAAAAGAACAGTCAGAGTACTGCTTATTTTTACCAAAACAGTTCACTGAAAGGTCAAGGTTGATTTATATGCAAAGCCACATGCATTTGATTACTCTTTAATTCTAAAAATGTAAAAAGCAGAAATTATAAGGCCACCCTCTTCATTTGACAAGGTCACATATTTTTAGGGAATTGGATTAAACCACTAATTAATTCAATTTTATTTATTGGAAGTATATTTTTATCTTTATTAACATTCGACATGCATCTCTATAGTGCTTTATGTAACGTGTCCCCAGCCAGAGGTCTGCTAGCGAAACCCAGGGCAGGTACCTGCTCGGGGAGTTTGCAACGCGGCTGTGCACCCGGCGTGACCTCGAGTACGGCCACGGCGTCCAGGGGACTTTGGATCTGAGCTGCAACCTGGAGCCCGGCGAGCGCTTCAGATCCGGTTCCAGCATTTCAGGATCTTAGCAGGAGTTGAGAGTCATTGCCCCTCAGATGAGATGGAGTGACGGGCTGGGATCCCGTTTGCTTTCAGCGCAAAGCAAATCCAGTTCAAGTGAACCGCCGTGGAGCATGGCTTGGGTTTTTGATGCATTGCTGAGGGGTTTTTCCAGCTTTGCTAAGAAATGCTCCTGTTTGCTTTGAAATCCTCGCTTTGTTGCCCTTTGTAGCAACGTGAGGTTCAGGCAAGGCTGAATGCTATGGAAATTTGGTGCTTAATTAATCTATTCATGTTATGCACCCTGCCCTTTTGGTCACAGAGGGGTGTTTCTAGTAACCAGCAATAAACGTAATTAGAAATACCACGAAAAAGTGATCCTTCCAAGAAAGCCGCTAATGCTATACTGTATGTGTAATAGGAACATATTGCTGCACATATAATAGGAAACCATGTTGAACCGAAACGTGCCAGCAAATTTTCCAGTCTCCACGCAGTTGGCAGTGAAAGCTGTATCTTCAGTCTCCTCTGCTGGGTGATTTTAGCACTGCTGCTATATTTGATTTCCTCACCGATTGGGGTATGGATTTCTGCTGACAAGTTATTGCTTCGCAGAGCAACAGTAACTGTCACTTTTCTTGGTAACTTACGGCCTTTTACTGGTAACGTGAAGACTCTCTTTGCCTTGCTGTCATCCCTGATTTCTTCTGCCGAGCTCTTAACTCCTCCCTTATTTTATCAAGTCCTGTTCCTTTTCTTGGTTTTCTGACCTTCTGAAGAAACTTGCCTGGGATTAAGTTTTAAGGTGGTAAGCAGCAGAGCAGCAAACCAAGTAGGGTGTTTTGGCTTGTGGGCAGGACATAGAGGCAGGTTGTGCCATAAATTGCGATGCGTTTTGGCAGCAGAGTCTTGGAGCAGATGGCCACGTGAGACCTTCATATTGCAGACTGACAGAGACAGTAAACTAAATATCTGTTTAAGCAATGGTGACGGATGTAGAGGGCATTTCTCAGCAATTAATGACTGGTTAAGAGAGACGAGGGTCCGATGGAAAGCCAAAGGCTCGTAACCTTGATGCTCATTAACTGGCAGGAAATGTGTTACTTGGGTTATTGTTATTGCTATCGGACCTAGTAATTATTTTTAGGATAGAACAATTAGTTATTTTTATGCTCTGAAATGTTAAAAGGTAAAGAGGTTATTGCTCTTTAGATTTGTTGTGCTCTTTCTCATTTTCTTGTGTCCCCCCCGCCCCCCGTATCAGGTAAAGGGCAGACGATGTACAGAAAACAGCGTTTCATTCAGAAAACGGAAGGGGATTCATTAAGCCCCTGTCTCGACTAGAAATGCTTTTGGGCACGATTACACTGGCAAAGGCGCTAATGTGGGTTCAATTTCATCACTGTAGTAGTTGGTTCCCAAGTGGTAAAGATCACTTGGAGACTATAAGCACATTTCGTAGTTGTATTTGCATTAGTTGTTTTCACTTGTGCCACTTTACAATTACGTGTTAGCTGGCGGCAGCCGGGCCTGAGGCTGACGAGGCCTCTTCCAGCTCGACCTGCCCTGTGGGAAGAGCACCCGTAGGAGCAGTACCCCTGCCAGCATTACACAGACATTGCCACTTTTCCCCTTTTTAGATCACTGAGAACTTCTTAAAAACTCCTTCCATTTAGAGAAACCTACTAAAATTTCTACCGGAGGTGCGTTTTTGTTAAGTACTTTTCCTACGTGATGTGCATCACTCTGGCTGGTCCTGACCATCAGAGCTGCTCTGCTAAGGCAGGGGAAGAGCTGCTTTGTATCCAGGTTTATTTCTGATCTCAAGAAGGTGAAAGGCACACAGCTCCGGCCCCGATTCTGCAAGTGGCGTCACGCAGTTGTGATCTTGGTGGCTGTGAGCCACCTCCTTTGGTTTTGTAATCTCAATGATACGGTATTTTAAATTAGTGGGCTTTGGGGATTGATTCCTTGCTGTGCACTCTACGGAAATCATGGGATAAAAGCAGTGGGTCCCGAAGCCCAGTAAGGTGATGTTTGGTTATTCCAGTCCTGAAAATCTCATGGAGGGGGGGGGAAGCCCCCAAATCACTGGCAGTAAGGGGAGGCTGCTGAGATAGGAAGGTGATGGGAACATGTGTTGTACAGCTCAGCAGTGTAAGAAATACTGTAAAATGAACAATTAGATGAACATTTCAGATTGTACATCCTCCTAATTATCCTTTTAATTATTCATCTAAAACAAGTAAAATGACCCCTGACAGAGCCATAAATGATTTAGGAACTATGAAATATTTATCAGATGCAACTGAATCCCCACAGAGGTTTTTAACAGATGCACACGAATCTGCTCTCCTTATTCCTCATCTCCTACAATTTTATCTATGGAATTTATAACCAATTGAGTGAGATTTTCAGTATTCAAAATACTGCTGAGCTTATTGAGAATTTTTTAAGGGAGGAAGAGAGCAGAAGTGCTTTCAGTCACTTATGTTTCACAGATCTGGTGTAAGAAGACAGTGGCCACCCATAGTAGCAATGTCTATAGCCAGTCCTGCACCACCCATCTTCTTACGCAAACATTTTGATACAAAGGGAGTGCTGAAAGAACCAGAAATCATGGAAGAAAAATAGCCCTGTGATGTCGCTGGCACAATTTGGAAATATCTGAACATCTCATGCAATTTAACATTTAGATGGTTCAAGCATAAACAATTTAAAGTTGGGATACTTCTAACTTGGGCAATTGCACCTGAGTTGAGGTTGCTGTAGCCAACGGTGCGTACTCACGGGAGGGCAGCCCTGGTGTGGCAGAAAGCCCTAGCCTGTGGTGGAGCGTGCCACTGAGTCACCAACAGAGGAATAATTTTTATTTCACAACTAGCCTTTTTTGTTTTTTCTGCAGTGAATAAAATCCTCCCTCTTACATAATAAAATTGGATTTATATTAATGTTCTCATTGCGATGACACAGTTGGCTTGAGAACACAGAGAAATCCTTCTGGGTTATGCTATTCCCATTAAAAAAAATAAAAAATAAAAAAAAAAAAAACAACCCACAAATTTTAATCACAGGATCCTGGGCACAGCAAGCAGTGGTCTGCAATGGTTTTACAAGAAAAAAATTCTAATTTTAGTTCTATTTTTAAGCAACGGTTTTGTAACAGATGAGAAGAAATTATTTTGTACAGAGTAATTTTTAGGAACCGTGCATATTAAAAATGGGAGATGCTAGAAAGACAGGTGATCTTGTGGTGAGGGCAGCAGACAGGAATTTTTGGAAAGCTGGATTCAGTTCTTAGCTGGACCATAGACCTCCTGGGTAACATGTACAAGCTTCTACCATACGATTTTGCCCTCTATTTGGACCTACAGCTTTTATTGTTACATGAAATACAAAGGCTTTTGGAAATGAAAAGAAAATACAAAGAAGATCCTTTTGACCCTTATTGAATCACATAGTAATAATGTCAGAGTTACTGTAATAAAACCCAAGTTCTTATGGAGGACTTCTCATGAGTGGGTCTCAAAAAAGTTACTGTCACTCTCCCCATCTTACGGAACGGAGGAGCAGGGAGGTTAAGGGATGTACGTGCCATGTCCAGCAGTAGAGGTGGGACAGGGCACGGGGGTCCATCCTGTCTGCCTTGCTCCCCCCAACAATACAGGGGAAATCCAACATGCTTTTCCTAACTTGTGATCTACAGACCTTCGGTGGTTTACAAGCCCAAGGCGCTAAGTCAGCCATTGGTCCCTGGAAACACATTAAACAGGTTTTGATGGAGTTTACCATTTAAATTTTAATCAAAGTCCAATGAGGAGGGCGAGAAGTCCTTGAGAAATTTGGACTTTGTGGTTTTCTGTAGTCTACGTAACTTCATAATTACTTCCATAATTAGCCAGCACTACTTGTATACTTTTTTTTTTTAAACCAATCCATGTAAAGAAGAAAATGATGACCTGACATTTTACTTGCATTAGAAGAACTGTTCTAATGTAATGAGAAAAAACTGTAAATGCTTCAGAAAAAC